AACCTACGGCTTTCTGTATCCGAGACCACTACCAAGGAAACTCCTGCCGGTTTGACCATCGTTGTTGGCGATGTCCATCTTGTGTCCTAGGCGCAAGGACGGCGACTTATGTGTACAGTAGTTTATGTTGATAGCAGACTTTTACAAAGGCTGTCGAACCTCCTGGACCCGGTGGCGAAACAGAGTCAAGAAGAACGGAGGTGGGATCGGGCGTACGTGGCTGGCGTAGCTTGAGCCTGTACCTGGGCGTACCATAACAAGTGTGGCGTGTGTTATGGGCCCGTATCTCCGCTAACACCCCGGCCATGCACCGATTCGGCCGCCGTCTTGGTCAAGCGCGTCAACTGCGTAGCCTGCTGTAGTTACTATATCTTCACAATGGTGCATTAAAGTCCGCTGGCACAGCAACCCTAGATTGTCCCACAAAATGCATTACAGCTGAAGGTTTTTTACACTACTAAGCTGACCATCTACTCCCTTTCAAACACGTCCACAACTGCCTGAGCCAAAACGCTCTCATCATTAACTATTAGAGAGTGTTTATTACCAAACTTAATTGTCCTGATTTTGAAAATTTTTCCCACTGGATGTGAGCAAGTAGCTTTCTCCACATTAAACTTAACTGCACGGAAAATAATGTTGGGAACTGAACGCGAAATAGGTAACAATTAAGCATGTCACCCACTTTAGATACCATCAACCCCTAGCCCCGTGGTTACATTTAGTTTTATTTGTTCTAGATAAGATTTAGTCCAGCTCATTTTTGAGTTTGTTAACTAGAAAATTAGTTAAATTTTGGGCTTATTTTAGTCTAGTTTTTCGTTTCGATAGATATCACCAACGTTAGATAAATATACTTAAATAACAACTCCTACCGAGGCCGCGAATTTTTCACAATTGGGTCAATTGAATTATTGAAATCTGCCAAATCTCTAACAACGAACATTAGACTAGTAGTCCATGCGGTGGATCCTAAATGATTACTTAGGAAATCCTGCCTGGTAGTCAGCTTACTGCGTCTGTATTGGTGGATTCCATACGTGCAGTAAAGCTTAGCAAGCAAATCGACCCAAAAGTGATTAAATTCACGACGCACGGCGAGCCTCGTAGCTCAATGGTAGAGCGTTGGCTGTGCAAAAGCCTCTCCGTGCTTTGTGGGTTCGACTCCCACCGAGCCCGCGATTTTTTTCACAATTGGTTCAATCGAGTTATTGAAATCTACCAAACTTCCAACAATAAATAACAACACTATACTAAACTAACAAAAGTAAGCTAAACCAACCAAAACTAACTAAAATAAAAAAGAAACGAAACTGAATTAAAACTAAAATTAAACTAATAAACTAAATAACAAATCAAAACTAAACTAATACCACCGGCCCCGTAAGAGAGAATTCCGGGAGCAGGTGAATCTTACGTGGAAGACCAACTTAACTGTTACCGCGAAGTATACTTTAGTTTACCCTGTTGCCCCTGCGTTAATTTAGAGAATAAACTTGTTCCGGATATGTCAAGGATTTAAGTTGACCCAATTATGAAAAAAACTCGCGGCGTTCGGTGGGATTTCAACTCGCATAGTAGGGGAGACCTTAATGCAAAGCCAATGCTCTACCAGTTTAGCTACAAACGCCACGCCTTGCAACTTGTGATTAAATTCACGGCGCAAGGCATGGCGTTTTATCAGCTCAACTTGTAGAGTATTGGCTTCGCATTAATGGTCTCCCCTACTATGCGAGTTGAAATCCCACCGAACGCCGCGAGTTTTTTTCACAACTGGGTCAACTTAAATTAAGCAAATCTACCAAACCTCCTTACTAATTAATGTCAAGGGCTATTTTTATGCAGTACGGAGCCACAGATCATACAACTCTGGAGACCCAGAGGTTGCTGTCAGAGAAAATTCCACATTTCTGGAGGAAAGGCATGTTGCCAGTGAATAGTCGTGACTTTAATCCGATTGAAAATTTATGATCAATTCTTGGTAATATGGTTGATGAGAAACTGCCTGCTCCTGCTACCGTTGCTGGATTGGAGAGATCCCGACTGGAGTCCTAGAGAAAGATCCCCGCGCAGACCCTCCAGAATCTCAGTCACTCTATGCCAAGTAGGCTAGAAGCTGTCCTAAAGGTCAAAGAAAAATGCCCTGTAAAGTAAATTGCGCAATATATATTATCAGGAGGGTTTGGCAGATTTGAGTAATTCAGTTAACCCGGTTGTGAAAAATTCGCGGCCTCGGTGGGAGTCAAACCCACACAGCAGGGAAGGCTTTTGTGCAGCCAACGCTCTACCAATTGGGTCAACTGAATTATTCAAATCTGCGAAACCCTTGTAATAATTAAGTGAGCCTAGTAGTCATTCTGGTGGCTTCTAGATGATTGTTTAGGAAATACTGCTTGGGCAGTCAGCGTACTGTGTCTTTAATGGTGGATCCCATACGAGCAGAAGGTTGGGCAGGTAAATTGTCCCAAGCGGGATTAAATTCACAGGGCACGGTGAGCCCGTAGCTCAATGATAGAGCGTTGGCTGCGCAAAAGCCTACCCTGCTGTGTGGGTTCGTCTCTCACTGAGGCCGCGAATTTTTCATAATTGCGTTAACTGGAATATACATTCCTTTAAAGACTGTGAGTGTGTTACTAAGGTGCAAATAATTTCGGGACACCCCTTAGAAGGCGGACGGTAACTGTATGCAAGCGAATTTAGGGTCAGGACCGCAGCTCTCCTCTGCAGTGGAAACCTGGTTCTCCGACTTGCTATCTCACTGGCAGAATGATAACTGAGACAGCACAGTCGCGGGGTCGAATCTCAAGGTCTATCGGGTCTATAATGTTAGCAGACAAACGCCCATACGTATTTGTTTTAACCGAATGAACGGATCCTGCAGGGACTGATGGCACTTACGCGTGTGTGTCGATCTGCCCTTTACGATTATCGTCGTCGTCGCCTTCGCCACCACCACCAACACCACAACTACCACAAACGTCACCGTCACCACCACCACCACTATAGGACTCTGCTAATGATCCCTCGTAAATAAGAACTCGCAAACCGTACTTCTTGGTGTAGCTGTTTGTTCGAAAAGTGGGCATTCATGCGGTGGCGGTGGCGACGGCGTCGGCGGCGGCGGTGGTGGTGGCCTGAGGGGCTCGGGAAT